GAACTGCACAACTTTTCATTACTAATTGGTACATATTTTACGTTTCCATTGTTTACTGGCAGTAAATGGTAAATATTTTTCAAGTCTGAAGCTAAAAGTTGCTCCTCACCCTTCCCATCATGCACGGGTTCAACCTAACAAAACTATTACGCATGTATAGGATGACCCCCAATTTTTTGCCTAAAAATTTGGTCTTAAAAACTCGAACTATACACGAGTATATACGGTATATTTTAATCAAAATTGAGTTTTAGTTAGTCATATAAAATCCTTTACACTATTCTTTTCTACCACCCCATTTTAAAATTGAATTTTTGCTTTGAATTTACAATAGCAGACTCTCTTAAAAAGCATTACAGACATTGGCACAGATCCAGGAATAACCAACACGACAAGGAGCGTTTACTGTAAATACAATTTTCAATTAAGAGAAGTTAAAATTCAATTTCTATTGTTTGCATTTGAATGTTATTCTGTAATGATCTTGCATTATGCAATGGCCTGTTAAAAAACCCCCATAAATTTTAGGACTTCCTACAGTACTACAAAGACCTCTCATTTCTTTCGAGAAGTTTTGTTGAACTTGTGACAACTACTACGGTATGTACTCACCTGGAAAACCTGAATGAATTCGCCTACGTTCAACAATTGTAGTGGCTCAGAGATGTCTCTAAAATTGAGAATGGCCAGTGATGTCCTCCTTTAAAGCAGGGATTTGCAGCTTATTTTAACTCCAATGTGCACTAATGTTAGTGAAGAAGTACAAAATAACATCACTGTAAATAATAAAGAAGTTTATCAAAGCTTTCTTTAATTTTTTTTGTTTTAAATTTGCAGTCCTTCAGATACAGTAAATGATTGTTTATAAAAAAATACTATTTACTGTTTAATCCATAACATAAGTATTAGAACTGTTACAGTATTACAAAAATTGACTAATTATTCCATCATGATTTTCCCTTGGAGAATTTCTCTGTAAATAACAATATGGTGAGATACAGTGCTGTACATCAATGTTTCCTTAATACAGTACAGTGGGGTCTCATTTTGTACTGGTACACATCCGCACATTGGAAATCTGTGCAAGTGATGCCCTTTAACATATATTAAAATTGCTATACACAATATTGTAGTGAACTTGCCCAACATTTACTCGAGAAAAACTTTGGGTAACCATTTTAACCTTCCAAAAATGACACAATGTCACTTAAACTGCATCTACATTATTAAATAAATATTTCAAGAAAGCCCAAGAAGTTAATTATTCAATACTCTATCGTCTCCACCGAATAGTAGAGGTGTGGGAAGCTCTCTTAGATAAGGGTCTGAGGCAGGGGGTGAAGGCTAGTAGGATTCAAAGCCTTGAAAATCAACTGCAGCCAACTTTTAAAGCAACTTCATCACCAATCCCCAGAACGGCAGGGTCATCTTCACTGGATTCCCCTTGAATTGTTGAGGCATAAAATAGGCAGTAATGAGAGCATGATGGCAGCATTTAAACTCATGGTAATATTGCCTGTAGGGTTCCACCAATTGTGCACTGAGTTTGTTACTGTGTTGCAGGCTGGACTTGGCACTCATTAGAGCATCCTCGAGTTATTCAACAATGCCGAGAACTTGCATCACTTGCTGCCAAGTCATGCCTCCCTTGGTTTACTCTGGTACCGCCACACCACCAACACTGATTTAGCTTGTCATTTTATTTTAAAGTCAAATTATATATTGTATTTTGTTCTATTATTTAATAGTGTATGTTATATTACAGTTACTTATGATGAAACATACACCATAATAGGCTGTTCATATAATTATTCGAGAATATAATAATTAATAAATAAAAACAAAGTGGTGAAAGAGTCAACAGCCAGGTGCATACACTCTGTTATAAGGGGGGAAGGACAAGCAACTCATGTAGGGGGGACTGGGATGAAGGTGACCATATCAACCCTCCCTCCACCACACTCTGCCTCTACCACTCTCTACTCCACCTTCCACCTCCTATCTATATCCTCTATAATTGTTTAAGTGAATAAAAACAAGAATAAGAGATAAGGTATGAGAAATCATGTAAATTAATAAAAAGAAAAATAGATTAAGAAATAGAGTAATTAAAGAATAAATAGAAAATAATGATAAGAATGAAACATTTTGTCTGCGGGAAATTTTTTTTTCCTCATTCTCTCATGTAACATCAGGTCATTTGCAGTGAAGGATTAGTGGTCCCATATTACTGACCTTATGCATTGTCAGGTCACCCATTGTCGGAGTGGGGAATTAGTGGGTCTCAAGACCTGAAGATGTCTTGAATAAGGACGAAAAGTAATATACAGTACACTGTGGCCCTGTTAATTTGGATCTTAGCTTAATTCATACTTTCTTTTTTTAAATGAATAAAATCTTTGGAATTCAGAACGAATCTGAAATAATGGTGCAATTCCAAAAAGTCAATTATTACTATAAGAATATATTATGATACAGATAAAAATGAATGAATTATAGGAATGAAATAAGAATTATAATAAGAAACAAAAGTAATTTCGGGTGAGTACCCAGTGAGGGGTGGCAGAGGAGGGAGGGAGGAAGGACAACTCACCACCTCCCGCTCGGCAGCCCGCGATATCTTATAACGACAGCATGCAATTTCACCATAATTCCCATATTATTTAGGTTCATTTAGTGCATGGTTAATAAAACATTATCAAAGATATTACAGTGAACCCTCACTTTACGCGGTTAATCCAGCCCACAGGGTACCACGGAAAGTGAGAAACGCGTAAAGTGAACAACATAACATATGGGATTAATTGAAATAGAGACCGGGCCGACCCCCAAACTCCACTTTTTCAAACACAATACCTACGTTGTAGTAAAAATAACTTCTTAATTTTATGATGGTATGCACACACAATTAATAATTAAGAGAAATATCAATAATATTAGGTTTTTTAACACTTACATTAGTAGAAAAGATGGCTGAGCACACGGGGATGGGGGGGGTTGGTTCCGAGGCAGAGGGCAGATTATTGGCCCTCACCTGTATCACTTGTATCACTATCCACCACAGAGGCTTGCAGGACCTCTTTGTCAAACCCCTCAAAGTCCATATCCTCACTATAATTATCACTATCACTGACTTGGGCCGGCTGTGGTGGGTGGCGGGTGAAGAACTCGGTAATGTTTTGATGACTGGGCGACCTTGTGCGCACCCTGCTCGCGCCGCTTACGTAACATGGCGGGAGGTTTGGATCCAAAAATGGCGCGGGTCGCCAGCCGCTTTCCGCATAAAGGGGTACACGCACCGCGGAATGTGAGCATTCCGGTTTCGGCAGGGTACCGCGTAAACGTGGAAATGCGGAATGTGGGACCGCGTAAAGCGAGGGTTGACTGTATTAATTTTCCCCAAAAAAACCTAATACTCAATCCTAGATGAGCTACTGTGGTCTTTTGTTTACAGTACAGGGGGGGTATCAGTTCATCATTCCTGCTCTCCTTAACAATGTTGCCAGCACTCACCATCTCTCAAGCAGCGGATTTTACAGTAATTTGAGTGACCCAGAGCCCATTTTTTTTAATTAACCTAAAAAAGCAAAAGATCACTAAATTAATGCTATACCACTATCCACGTCACCCTTGGCTTTCTGCATAAGCTATAACTGCGGTCACATTTCAACCAATCATGTAAGTGATAACCGGGCACGCGAGACCTGCGTAAAATGAAACCCCACTGTATACAGATATATTGTCTTGCATTGTGCACAACATGTTGTTATCTAAGGTACTTCAATTGCTAAGGTAATTTGCACCATTTTTCTTTACTAACTCTAGATACACTGATCTCAATCTCAGTACACACAAACTAAATTTCCCCAGATAATATTCTAAAGCCATTACTAGAACTCTGTTCAATGTTCAAAAACAAAAGCTCCTCACTCATCACTGTTTGATCCTTATCTGAATCAGCTACCATACTCTAACAACAAAAGTCCTATTGGTCATTCTAATGGAACCGAGTTACATTCTGATAGTCGACAATTAATTATTCAAAAGAAGGATGTTTTTAGGACAATTTATTCAATATCCCTCACAAAGTTTTATTTTTCTGCCATTTTGTAGTTCATAGTAAGTTTTCCAATAGTTACCTGAAGTTTCCATCTAATGCAAATTAATTTTAATTTTATTTTAAGTATTATAACCCTGTATTTTGTTTCTCCTCGTGGCTGTAATCAGTTTTTGCTAATACAGTACAGTAATAAACTGAGTTTTTCCACTACCCTCTCTAGACTAGATTTATCATAGACTAGTGCTATAAAGCATCTTTGCAAGTGGTATTTGTTCTTCACATGAGTGTGCAGGTTTTACTTGCTTCACAAATTACTTAAATACAAATTGTGTATTTTTCATATGGTAATCTATACTTTAAATAAATCACATACTGAAAGGATTGAAAGTGCAGCATAAGGCACATTATTAAATATATGACCTAGAAAGATGTTTTATAATTCTTAATAAAATATCCATATTGTGCCATAGTAAAAAAAAAATCTTAGTTATCTTGCAAATATTTTTCTGAATCCATACACAATCTGAATTCAAAATCCAAATAATATACTTGTTGTCTACAAAATAAAATATTAAATTTAAGCACATTTATAAATTATAGTATGCTCGGCCACAAAGAGATTTTTCATTTTAATATCAAAGGTAATTTTGTGTATCACACACAACCTTTTCCCTTTATCATTCCATGGAGTTGAGTTCTGCATTGGTTTTTAAGAATTTTTTCTTTAATGAGGAGAAGACAAAAAAAAAATTATATATATATATATATATATATATATATATATATATATATATATATATATATATATATATATATATATATATATATATATATATATATATATATATATATATATATATATATATATATATATATATATATATATATATATATATATATATATATATATATATATATATATATATATATATATATCCTCTGCAGTTTGGGTAAATTTACAGTTGAACAATTTAGTATCCATGTGAAGCATTATCACAGTGTGGCAGTTGGGCCGAGCATAAACCTGACTCATGATGACCTAGCATGCACTGCGGGTCAGACAATAGAAGAGTCAACCTGTGCCCTACGTTTGGCATCAAGACGCTGCAATTTACTATCTACTTCTGTTGTCATTTTCAGTAGGTCAGGTTGCCCAGGAATGGAGGTTATGTGCGATCGAGCTGATCTTCTAGAGCCATGGCGAGTTAGCGTCCCTGTTTGAGGAGTGCCTGGTATAGGACGACCCATAGCATTCATGTAGTCAGCAATAAGGAGAGTTAGTTCCAGGATCTGCAACACAAGAAGTCATGACTCATTTATTTTCAATTCTGTTTTTTTTTTGTACAGTACTTTGTTCAGTATTATAGGTCTGGTTGTACATTCAATACACAAATAACTTATCCTTTATCTTTCTTTACCAAACCATATTTCTTAGTGTACAGTATGTACTTGTGATATTCCCTGAGATTTTCTAAGCATCAGGATTCTCACTAGGGTCTCATAGCTGGATCAATTACCAGGCCATCAGAAGCAGGCTAAATGGCCAAAACTGCACTAACAAGAATATAAATACAGGTACATTTGCTAACAAATGTCCTGTTGCTTCGCCTGCCTCTTCATGAATCCAGAGATTGAGAGATTTGTGAGGTCTCTGAACCTCTTGGTTCATGAAGAGCCAGGAGAGGCAACAAGACTTTTGTTGGCGAGTGTACAGTTCAACAGAGAAGTTTGTGTTACACTCGAGGTGGAGGGTGCAAAGCCGGTTCCACCCTTACTGTACAGTGGGTCACTGTCTGGCCTATGACCCCCAATACACAAACTAGCACTGATATAGTTTAACACTTGCTTTAGACTCATAGTGGGATGGATTAATGCAATAATACTCCTTGACCTTAACTTATCATGTGACCTTGACCTTGAAACCTTCTAAAACATAATTAGATTGATCAAGCATCCTCAAAACTATTAAAAAACAAGCCCTAGAACATCATTTCCTGAGATGTGGCATTTTATCATTTTAACTGTGGAAATGAGGCAGCTATTTTGAATTTGCCCAAGATGGCCACCAGAGTGAGGACCTAGTGTGTCCTCACCCTGTAAACATTTCTATAAGGCAGAAGAAAGGACAAGCAACCACCTTCTGGCTCACTTCAATGCTCATTGGGAGTATAACATAAGGTAGTAGGTATTAGGAAGATACCAAACAGGGAGGTACTACCGCCTGGAAAGATATTGGAAGCATAATGTATTGGCTAATGATAGATCCTGCTGCCCCATGGCATTGCGAATATTGTGACCAAGTCCCAGGTTGCTGATCTGACTCTCAGCCTCATTTACACACAATTGCAGGGTCTCAATTGTTTCTCTTACTATTGACAACACAACATACATACAGTATATTGTTTCTCACTTTTGATCTTTTTTCATTTTTGTATTTTTGTTTTTTTATTATTATTATTATTATTATTATTATTATAATAATAATAATAATATTATTATTATATTACATTTTCGACCCTCAGGCCCTGATGTGGGTCAGTGATATGTGCCCGGGTGAGCTAACCCTGTATATACAAAAAAAAAAAAAAAAAAAAAAGTGGAGGCCTGAGCTGGTGCGAGGCCTTGTGTCAGCCATGCCAGACAGGCCTCAAGCCATCAAAATCTTGAGTGTCTGGCTGAAAATCTCTCCCATCAGTCCAAAGGAATGAAGCGTGGCATCACAAGGCAGCTCGACCTCCTCCACCACACTATTAACACCACTCGCTCCTATTTGCTCACATGCACTCATGATATCCTAATCCTCTTCAGAAATCAAGGAAAAGGATTCATCATCAAATGCAGTAACTATCAACACAAACAGTACTTGGAAGGGGTCACACTCTTCAAAATATTTTTAATTTCCTTTGCAGCAAGTGGTGGTGAGCGAGATGGTCGAGAGGTTGTGTGGGAGGCACGTGAGGTGACAGATTGCTTCCTCCTACCATCATGTGATACACACACACACACTTTTAGATTATCCACACTTTCCTCATCACTACTACCTGGATATCTTCTTGCAGTTTACATTTCATGGGCACTTTCTTTGGATGGTGGTGCAATATACAGTAAGTCTACTCTCCATAATGGCTCATTTGATACCGAGGATCCACATGGGTGGCAGCATAAGTGAAGGGATGGAGGCTAAGTGAGACTGAACCTGTTAAATCAGATCCAGAAGCTACAATTATGAGCAAAAATCATATGCTGTATGTCGCAGTTACAAGCTTTCCATCTAACAATGCATATTGCATTTGTAGGGTTAAACAAGGGGTTGGACTTGACTTCTTAATAACTCTGCTCACAAAATACTAAAATACAGTATATAAGAAACACCAAGAATATGCATGACTCCAAGAACAATACTCTTTAAGAATTACCTTGGGTTTATTCATACAGAGGAGAAGTTTATGAGTTCCTGGAGGGTGGTGGGCACTGTCTTCCTCTGGTGTGTGAACTACCAACATGAAGTCTTCCTGGCAGCCCCCAAATGTTACAACTGATTCATACCCATATCTGGAGAAAAAAATAGACATACACATTTTATTAGACTAAAACAAAATCTCAAGTTATATTTAATTTTATAGGTGTATACATGAGTGGTTCGGGTAATCATCAACCCTCAGACATACTGTATGAGGATAGCACTTTTACTTACTGGTTGCATATTCCTTGACATCTTACCTCCCAATGGAAACCATGCTGGCATGATCAAGCAATGTGATGGCATCTTCACTGACTGCCACCCACACTGGTGTTGGTGGGCCATCAGGTGAGGGTGTAGCAGCAGGAAATAGTGTAGCTCCAAAGTAGGGCCACTTTCTTGTACAGGTTAGATAAATACGTACACAGTCACTTTGTGTTCTTCCTCTTAGGCCTACCCACTTTTCTTGTAAACTGTCTTGTAATGTCCTAGAATATAAAGTTAGAGGGAGACATTCTTTAAAACTAAAAATATGTATTTAATAGGTTTGATTTTTTATAAATGTAATGTTTTCAGAGGACGTCCTTTTACTGCATTTCTAATTTTCATTTTGTGTACCCTGTACAGGTATTCATATATATTTTTTTTTCATCTACATTCTTTTAAAATTTTCTGCTAATTAAGAGGGTAGTCCTAGTTCTTTACAGAAGCATTACAAAGGCAAAATCATACACATATCCAATCAGAATTTTTTTCTTTACTCCTAACTAACATATATTAATCAATTATTTCTCTGATATGGAAGTTTATCAGGAGAGGTGATAAGATATCCTTTGAAAAGAAAAAAAAGGATTGTACATATTTATGATAAGAGATACAGTAATTATAAATGAGGTTTATGCTATTACACTACGGTAAGATCTCATATTTCGCGCAATTCCATTTCACATTTTTGAATTTCGCGAGCACTACCTAATGTAACCAAGTCTTATATTTGGCATAAAATATCGTAAATTTCGCGAGATCCAGCCAACTGAATGCGAGATCCAGTAAGCTGAATACTGGCCACGGTCTTGGATGACGTCACAGCCCTCATACCAGTTACAGTCATTTCTGCTACAACGCGTGTTTTGTCAACGCAAATTGGTTGCAACGAGATTGATGAATAGGGGAACGCTATATTAATTATATTCTCCTAGGTCATATCACTGGCATTTTAAAATGAGAGAAGCTTAGTAGGACTGTTAAATAAACACACAGAGACTTTCGGCTCAAACTTGTCACCTCAACCCCCCACACCCCCCCCACCCCTCGCTTTCCCTCCCTCCCTAATCTGCTCAGGCGGGGGTATATTTAGGCTTACAGTTTTTAACTTATATAATATCTCAGACTAAAATTAGGAGATTATAATTTGCATTGCTGGAATCCTTGCAAGACAGCCAATAATTTGAATATAAACGTCATATATTTTGCTCAAGAGATAAAAATTGTTGTACATTAGTGTACAGTACTGTAGTACATTTATAATATAAATTTTTTCAACTGCATTTTTGGGTAGATTTACATCAATTTCTTCATTTATTTTCATCCATTTACATGCACACACCATACTAAAAGAAACGTAAAAGAAATAAATGACCTTAGTGCAAAGCTGGAGTGCACATGTACTAATTTGATTACGGTACTAAAATTGTTATGTCTAGTGCAAATTATACAGGTTGTACCTCTCTAGTCCGGCATTCTGTGGTCCGGAAACTCCCGTGGTCCGGAACAATTTTAGTTTGTCCAATAGGTAGATAGGCAGTTTTTTTTTTTTTTTTACTTATCTGAATTATTATTATTATTATTACAGGAGTATTAAATTTTTGCCCCTCAGGCCCCAATGTGGGTCAGTGACCTATGCCCGGGTGGGCTAATCCCCATAAAAAAAACAACAACAAAGCCGCGAGAAATTAAGGTTTGTTTACATACGGCAGTTCGGCTGCTCTCTCTCTCTCTGCTTGTCTATACAGAGTACAACATTTAACCCTTCAATATATATGAGCAGTAAATAAGTGTTGCTTTCATATTCTTATGTAGAGTAATGACGATATATTTTCACAAGTGCGCACTTACATACGCGCAGTCTCACTTTTTTTTTTACCATTAATGGTTAGCTACTTATATTGTTCCCTTTATTAACATTAAATAACATTACTTCAAACATCCATATTAATTTTTACAATAATTTTACTACAGCTACAACCAGGGTCTTATTTTCTTGTTTTATACGTAGAACCAACCAGTCACTGGTTTTGTAAACATTACCGAAAACAATGCCGACAGCCATCTCGTCTCCTCGTGTGTTTTAATATTCCACGAATTATGAATGAATTGTATTGTTCATTTTGCACACACAAACATTAATTCAATAAAAAAAATCAGAAACATTAATTAAAACTTATATGAACAGTAAATAAGTGTTGCTTTCATATTCTTATGTAGAGTAATGACGATATGTTTTTCACATGTGCGCACTTACATACGCGCAGTCTCACTTTTTTTCTTTAACATTAATGGTTTGCTACAACCATATTAATTTTTTACACTAATTTTACTACAGCTACAACCATGGTCTTATTTTCTTGTTTTATATGTAGAACCACTCAGTCACTGGTTTTGTTATGAACGAAAACAATGCTGTCTCATTTCCTCGTGTGTTTTAATATTCTACGTATTATTAATGAATTGTATTGCTCATTTTGCACACATAAACATTAATTCAATAAAAAAGACATTCAGTAATAAACAAAAATGAATCTTTTGTACATTTGAGTTTCCGTTGACAAAATTTTAAATTATGTACAGTAGTTTTTTTTTTGTGTGTCCAAATAAAAAACAGTGAATTAAAAACTCGCGAAATTTGAGAAGCTACTGTATGACATTTAACCCTTCAATATGTCTTCAAAGAGACCACGAAGCAGTGAAAGTGGTGCTAACTTAAGCCCAAGTCACTATCTGTCCAGGAAAAGGGTGAATTTCCGTTGTCCGGAAATTTCCATGGTCCGGCACCGGTCAGGTCCCGAGGTTGCCGGACTAGAGAGGTACAACCTGTAGTTCAAATCACCAACCCATGTTCCAGTTCATGTTTAAAGTACAGTAGCCTCAAAAATTATCTATTATAGATGCTACATCCAAGTAATGGGATTGGATGGGTGCATTAATTTACACTTAAAAACAAATAAATTATTATAAAATTCTATCTTCAATTGTACATAGCTTAAATTCAATCGTAAACTGTAACGTAACACAAATTATTTTGTCACTAATGAGCCCACTTACTTTAATTCTTCTTCACTGTGGTCCTCACGATATCTGTAGGGGTAAAACTTAGTGAAGGCTTGCTGGATGTGAGCTGTCGAGGGGCCAGATGAGCCAGAGCCTCTTGATCTTTCACTGTTCACCTCTCCCATGTCAATCTGTGGTAAATCATAATATTTAAGACAAATAATGTGAGTGTTCTTTGATAAATGTCAGCACAGCAAAATGAAAGTCTTAGGTTATTTGCTCCTTTGGTTGTTTCTATACAATTAAGCCAGACTTTATTTTATGTTTAACAGGTTCACCAATATAAATATAAATTTTATTTTGGTTATTTTCTTATCGACACCATTGATCAATCTTGCTTTGGAATTCTTTTAAATGGCAAAAGCAGACACGAATCTACATTTCTGAAGCACGTGAAGTATCATGAACATTTAAAAATTATCCTTGTGCACTCTAGTAGAAAACACTTACAAAACTGTCATAAATATATCATTAGATGATATGCTAAGAGGCGACATGGTTTCTGAAAATATTGAATCATGACATATCCAAATGGTAGAGGGCTACACATGTAGGACTTCAGCTTCAAGTGCTGCAACTGTTCCAGTTATACCGACACATGATTTGCTGTGTTCAGTCGCAGGGGACCAATATGACAAACGATTTGGTAATTAGAGTACTGTAGTGAATGAAGTCAGGTCCCAGAAGGAGGGCCTATTTAATATCTACATGCACCTGCACTTTAATGAAATTGATGTTTTAATGTTTTAATCTGATACTCTACATTTGATAACATAACTTATTAATTTGCATGTTATTTGTCTTATACTTGCAGTAATACAAGCATTGACCATTATATGATGGGGTTAGAGACCTCATGTGAGAGGTTTGAATAATAGACCAGATTCCTTGCAGACTTTACTACTTCAGTGTCAGATGGTGACCGGCAACCGGGCGCTGCCAGACAAGCTCCCACCTCAACACATGGGAAAACATATCGTACGATAGTACTCCATTTCACAATCTCACACCTCATAAGGCCATCGCTAAGTGATCGATCATATATTGATAGTAATATCTCAATTAGCTGGAATCCCGCTTAGCCAGAACTCTCCAATGGCTGGAAATGAAATTTACTTGGAATTTTTTAGGAAAATTTCCATCAGTTCCGAGTTTGAGTTCTGAGGTTGATAATCAGGCGCATTTTCTGGAAAATTAAAAAAAAAATCCAGAAACACACTCCAATTTTTTTCTGGGTCTGGGAACAAATTCCAAGGATGAAATAGGTAATGTGTAATTCTGGAGAATTTCAAGAAAATTCCAGAAATTCTCCCCCCAAAAAATTTCCAGGTCTGGGAACAAATTCTGAGGATGAAATATAATTTGTCATTCTGAAAAATTCTGAGAAAATTATAGACTCTCTCTCCAATTCATTTTTTCTGAGCTGGGAACAAATTCTGAGGATAAACTAATGCACAGTTTCTGGAAAATTCCAAGAAACTTTTCCCAGTACCCGGAAAAATTATTTGGATGGTGGAATTTTTTTTCCGGACTTGAGAGAGTTGTCTCAGGAGGGTGCAGTGTTGGTGTCCGAGCTTCCCAATCGGTCAGTTGCGTTATTGTTATTCGTATTTTCAGGTAGATACAGTATACATAATTTTCTTTATACAGTACAGTACCAGAAAGTGCTGTGTCGGCACCAAGTGTGAGCTCTTTTAAGACAAGACTTGACCAACACTGGAGCAGGTTCAGGTACATTCAGGAACTGGTGCATGCCCAGTACTTGCCAACAGTGCGTAACAGAGATGTGACCGATCGCCCAGGCGGCTAATGAGCCGATCAGTGGTGAAGACGATAAAAGTAAAGTAAAAGTATACAGTGGTCCCTCGGTTAACGAACGGTTCGGTTAAGGAAATTTCGGTTAACGAAATTACCTTCCATAAGAATCTTCAATTCGGTTAACGAACAAAAATTTGATTAACGAAATCCTTACGAACATCACGTTTTGTTGTTAGCATCAGCTGATGGGCTAGTCTGCCAATTCAGTAATCTATTCTATGTTTACATTCGTTTCCAGTGGAGTAAATATCAAGAAAGTTGTGCTCTTTAATATTTTTGCATTTTTTATATTAAAATTATTAGTCATTTTAACATTTATTTAACATATTGATAATATATGCAGTACAGGGAACTAGTTTTCTTGTGCGCCCATCAGCAGTTTGACTCAGCCACAAGGCGTCAGTTGGGCTCTGTTGACAGTGGAGTGACCATCTATTTTGTTGGTGTCTTGAATATTTCTGCATTTTTCATTTAAATTATTGGTCATTCTGAAATTTAGTTAACATATTGATAATATATAGTGCAGTGCAGTGTTGATTTAAATAAAATAATCTTGAATTACACCTAGTGAACTTAAAATTTTATTGGTGAAATGACGGCATCAAGCATGGGTCCCCTGAAAGGAGATTTCTCCTCCATCCCTACTTCCTTCTCTTCTCCCTTCTCCTCCACCCCCACTTCTAATTCCCACCATCATCATCATCAACCAGGAACCTTCTACATACACACCTCAAAGTAAGTATACTTTACTGCATTTTTTTTTACTTTGTATGTACTTTTCTGTGAGCTGGAACCAATTACCCAATATCCCAGTGAAATGATGGATTCAGTTAATGAAATTTTCGGTTACCGAACGACCCTCTGGAACAAATTGTGTTCGTTAACCGAGGGACCACTGTACAGTATAGTCTGGATTTATGCGGTTTTTGTTGACGCGTTTGGTCATTTACGCGGTGCCTTGCCAGAATGAAATGTTTTAATTACGCGGTAAATTTCATCATTTACGCGGCGAGCGGCTGGAGAGGTCCAGATACACCGAACCATTTTTTACTCACGCGGTCCATTCTTGACTATACACGGGAAGCGGCGCGGTGAGGGGTGAGCATTAGGTCGCTCTTACGTTATCGCTGACGTCATGACGTATTGGACTGTGATTGGGCCACGCATCCTCACCACCCACGCATTCCCTCCGCCGCTAGCTGTGATTGGTCTAATGTAGCATGACGTGCCCTGCCACCAGAAGTCGCTGACCTAGCCGGGCCAGTCTCATTGTTCTCAGTCCGAGTATATACAGTTCTCTCGTGCCCGCTATTCCCCTCACAATGGCTTCCGCTGGAACCCCACCACCCCAGAAAAACCTTGAATTACCTGGACCAAGCCATGATCATGTGAAGAAAATCATCGAGTTGGGGGAGAAAATTAAGTTCATCCTTGACAAAGACCCAGTCAATTCTGGTATGAAGTGTCTAATAACCATCTGTCAAAAGTTATGGAGCCGTATGTCCAGATCTATTACGACAACATCAATGCTAGTCGTCAAAGTAGTATTAAGGACTTCTTCGCCCGCAACCCACCACAACCAGCCCAAGTCAGTGATAGTGACAGTGAGGATATAGACTTTGAGGGGTTTGTCAGGGAGGCCCTTCAAACCTCTGCGAAAGTGATTCACCGGAGGGCAACTAATCTGCTCTCTGCCTCGGAACCAGCCACCATCCACATGTGCTGACCCATCTCTTCTACTAACGTAAGTGTTAAACACCTTCAGATTTGTAGTTTTTTATTTAGATATTATATGTGTAGCAATACCATCATAAAATTATGATGTTATTTTTACTACAAGGTACGTATTGTGTCGGAAAAAGTGGAGTTTGGGAGTCGGCCCAGTCTCTATTTCAATTAATCCCGTATGTTCTGTTATTTCGTTTACGCGTTTCTCGTTTTACGCGGACCTCCACAGGTTCAATGGACCGCGTAAATGCAGACTATACTGTACACAGAGCGATCAGTAACGACAACAACAACGGCCAAACACCAACTGAGCGGGCTACGGCATGGATGCTGTACACCACGAGGCGGCCCAGCCCACGCTGTCGTAAGGGACCGAAACGTTTCGGTACTGGAAAATACCTAATGTGAAAAATATTTTACATGACCACGGCAGTCGTATGTCCGGGTTGTCGTAAGTCGATTATGTGGTAAGTCGAGGAGAGACTACAAAGAATAGCTTATTACACACACATATACCATCCTCTGGGCAATGTGACATGTTCAACTGCTTAGCCTGGCAATCACCGGGGACAGGAAGAACCTCCTACCCATCCAGCGTGGGTTGCATGTGTTATGCCATTCTGAGATTGTACAATCGGCCCTTAACATACGCAGGGGTTAGGTAATAGAGATACCCGTGAATGTTAGAATCCGTATTTTTGCTGCCCCCCACCCCTAAAAACACCCCTGGCCCCCCTATGTCCTTATTTACCGTATATACCTGTGTGTAGTTCGAGTTTTTAAGACCAAATTTTTGGGCAACAAATTGGGGGTCGACCTTTAAACAGGTAATAGTTTCGTTACGTTGAAAAATATTTACCAGTAACTACCAGTAAACAATGGAAACGACGCACCACCAGCTGTGAGTGTCGGTACAGTTGCCAGGGCAGATCTCTTGCGTCATCATAGCAAGCCCAAAGTAGCCAAATGCATGGTATGGTAGCACAGGACGATGTAAAACATAAAGTATTCATTTTTTAAATACCGGGTATTTTCATTAAAATATTACATCACAATTATATTTTACCTTAACTGTGACTGAATGAATATATTCTCAGAAATATATATGGAATTGTAATATTTTTGCTGAAATGACGTATGTATTACAGTGGAAAGTGGGATAAAATCATGACGAAAACAATGACTTTCGCTTTCTTTCGTTGTTCAAAAGATTTTACCGTAATCGCTTTTTGAATGGTTTTCAGTTAAAAAACTGTTGTACAGTATTACAATATTATTCTATCCTAGTTCACTTGAATAAATACTACGATACCATATTTCTGAATATTTTCATTAAAATCCATCAAAATCAAAACCCTTGTCATCATCTTCATCAACAAACAGCTCCTCCCAGTCTTCTCCTTGAACAGGGCTAGAGGGTACGTGTTTTTTTAATCGTTTTCAGTTAAAAAACAGTTACAGCACATGTATATTTTACCTTAACTGAGCCTCAATGAATATATTCTCATAAATAAATAGTAGATTTGCTGAAACGTGATGTATTTCAATGTAAAATAGGATAAAATACATGACGAAAACAAAAGAC